TTGTTCCTAGTAGCTTCTTGTTACTACTAGTAAGGCACTTGTTACTACTAGCGTGGCACTTGTTCCTAGTAGCTTCTTGTTACTACTAGCTTTCTTGTTACTACTAGTAAGGCACTTGTTCCTAGTAGCTTCTTGTTACTACTGTGGCCTCCAACCGTCGCGTTTGTTCGTAGTCGTGGGGGATAGTGACTCACCTGCCTACGGTAATTTCGTGAGGACCAGGGAGGCTAGCGGCTAGCACAGTGGACTTTTAAAACTTGAGACATGGAACAAACCGTTGCCAGTTGCAGGTTTGCACCGATGGTGGCCACAGCTTTTTTTGGGGCCTTCTTGCGATTCGCATTGCAGGCATGGGGCTAGAGGATGTGCATTTAGTTGGGGACGAACTTGTGTTGAAATCGACAAAGACACACTTGTCGGCTGTTGGCTGGGCGGGAATAACTTCAAATCAGCTAAAGCAAGGACATGCGTAAGCCATGATGTATACAGTCAAATGTACAGGCACAGTCGCAGTTCTGCGATCTTCACAGAAAACCAGCAGTGTTACTGTGCTGCCTGACATGCCAAACATTTGGTTCAATGAAGGTTCCCTGGGAAATGTTTGGCCTTGTTTGGCCACTAGCAAATAGCTTCTTGTTACTACTAGTAAGGCACCTGTTACTACTAGTAAGGCACTTGTTTCTAGAAGCGATGCACTTGTTTCTAAGGAAGTTTGAAGGATGTGGCGCTGGAATTTGGCCTTTGTGTTCCGTCTTCTTGCTCCTATCCCGTGGTGGACACCGTCTTCGTGCCCTACCTGTTGGGACGATACATGGGCAAGAACTGGGGGCCCAGACAGGTGGAGATTCAAACGCGCTGGCATCAAGAAACCAACGAGGTGGACAAAGAGGACACTGCCTCTCACTTCATGCTCCTTGGATCTCCAAGCCAGCAGATGGCCTCTAACCTAGTAGCAATGGCCTCCAACTCACTTCATGCCCTAGGGCGATGCACAATATTGTCTAGGAACCAGATCATGAGTGCGAGGAAACCTGAGCTATCCTGCGTCCAGTTACTAGCAGCGTCCTAGTAGCCAGGAGCGTGTTTAGTCGCCCGGGCCGAACGGGCTGAACAGAACACATCAAAGGAAAACATCATCAGAGGTTGAACAAAACCAAGGACCCTGTAGGTTGAAGGCCATTGTTGTTCCGTTTCCGTTTCGACTCACTCTCGAGGTTCAAGGTCGTCGCTTTACATCCCGGAGGCGCTCCTGCATGGTATCAAAATGAATGGCCCTACAGGTGCGACACGACGACGCGCGAGGAAACGGCAGAAAAAACACTGGGAACCTTTTCCATAGTCGTTCATAGTGGTTTTTGATTTGTGTATTTTGCTCGGTTCCTGTTTTCTTCAGACTCTTTAGGCCTGTCTCTTCTTTTTCTTTTCTTCGAAGTGGCAAGCTTGGAGCTTTGCAAGGGGCATATAGATACATCTCCAATTTGAAATGGCATTTGCGTTGAGTCTTTGTAGGCAAAAACTGTGGCAATATCAGCCAAGCTGGTGGCCGAGCCCAGAGAACGCCAGAATCTTGGGTTTCTTGATGGTCCCTCCTTTGCTAGCGGGCGCCCTGTTGAGAATGCTTGACCTATGTGGTGCCTTGGAAAGTGCCAGAAGCTGCTTTGTTTGCTTCTTTTTATGCATTTTTTTGTCTGGTTTCGTGATGTTTCTCCCGAGAGAGCAATTTTGTTTGCTTCCACTTACTTTCTAGAAGCTAGAAGCTGTTTGCAGGGTTGAAGCACACTGCGCTCAGAGACGCCTTGCGCTTCTTCGCTCCACAGCGACACCTGGCGGATCTTTGCTCCAGGAGATGTGCCGCTAGGGCCTAGCCATGCGTGTAGCGTCCGATCGCTCGGTTCCTAGCGATGCCCTTTGTTCCTAGTAGCTTTTTTGTTACTACTAGTAAGGCACTTGTTACTACTAGCGATGCCCTTGCTACTAGTAGCGTCCTTGCTCCTAGTAGCGATGCCCTTTGTTCCTGGTACTCGTAGTTTCTTGTCACTAGTAGTAAGGATGCTCCGTTCGTAGTACGGCCAGGAGCCCCGTTCGTAGCGAACATTGCTCCTAGTAGCGATGCCCTTGTTACTAGTAGCGTCCTTGTTACTAGTAACTGTAGCGCTCCTAGTCTATATGGGAGATGCCCCCGCATGCGACGTCACATCCGTGGCAACATACCTAAAACCACCACTCTTCCGGGAGCTTTCATCATTTGCTTGAGCAAACAGAGGCGAAGGCACCTCATGTCTAAATTATTCAGCACCAAACCTTTCTGATTTTGCCAGGAGTGCTGCAGAGGTGTCAGACCTGCACCTGCTGCGACTTGTTCTTCAGTTCTTGGTATGTTGGCAGCACGTCATTTTGTTGGTCGATCCTTGGCAGAAGACGCCCCAGGAAGCCAGCTGCTAGCAGCTAGACATGTTGGTCGCTTCGTTTTGAGCTTTTGATGATTTCGGGCATCATTTAAACGGATTAAGCGGCGCTTTGATCCGTGCTAGGATTGGCTGGGCAATAGCGGCCACAGCGGAATTGAAAGCTTTCAACCTCTCACCAGCCAAGCGGCCAAGGCTGGAAACGGGTGCTGCGTGGGGATGGAGGTAGCTGGAAAGTCAGATGTGAAAGCTGAGTTGTGGGTCCACTAGTCCTTTGGCTCGCCACTTAGTCTCCGGGTCTGCTTGGTTCTCGGTTTTTTGCTCCACGGGGAGCAAGAAGCTACTAGGAGCAAAGGGCATCGCTACTAGGAACAAGGACGCTCCTAACCTTACTACTAGGAGCACTTTTGCGAGTGCCACGGCTCTGACACTAGGTGTGAATCATGACTTCAAGGGGCGTAACACAGCTCGTGCGGCCAAAAACTTTCTCCAAAGACTAGGAACCAAATGTCCCCGTCAGCAAAGCTGGTTTTTCTTGGCCCTACCCGAACTGTCGTACGCACCGAGGCTTCAGGAATCAAAATCAGCGGACTCCGTGTCCGGCCTTCTTGTTCGGATGGCAAGCACTCCTCGAAAAAAGGGCTAGCAATGGCCTCGAACCCCAATCGCGATGGCCTCCAACCTGAAAGCGATGGCCGTCCCGTTCTTGTGGAATCCGAACTTCCGCGAGAGAGAAACGGAACATTCTTCTCGCTCACCCACTTGAGCGTTTGAGACCACGCCAGTCGTGGCAGGTGTTTAGGTAAAAGAGACACACCTTGAGTGGTCTGTTTTCCTGAACATCTAGGAACCATAGTAGATTAAGTAACTACCTAAGGAGGCGGGGCCACGGCCAAAGAAAAGGACGACATCTCTTGAGCGACTTCACTCCTGTCAACACTGTAACAATAAAGCTTTCTAGTAGCAAAGGGCATCGCTACTAGTAACAAGGACGCTATTTGGTTGGAGGCCATCGCTACTAGTAAGCGACTGTTGCGGACTTGGAGCGGTGTGACTTTCGTTGCTCAACTCTCAAGTGGAATGCTGGCAGGTCCCGCCATCCCCGTTCCCATTAAACATTGCCAAGAAAGGCTTATTGTAAATCGTATTTCGGAATTTTTAGGTAAAAGGCATTTCTACTAGGAACAAGGTTCGCTACTAGGAACAAGTGCATCGCTTCTAGTAACAAGTGCCTTACTAGTAGTAACAAGGACGCTACTAGTAACAAGGGCATCGCTACTAGGAGCAATGTTCGCTACGAACGGGGCTCCTGGCCGTACTACGAACGGAGCATCCTTACTACGAACGTAACAAAGGAGCATCGCGCCGCATCGCACGGCATCGTGAGGTGTTGGGTCGAGTGAACCACACCTTCAGTTGTTTGACGGCTTATTTGAGCTTCCGCTCTATGCAACGTGCCCTCCATGGTCACCAAGGCGCAAAGGTGAAACAAGAGCGAGGGCCTTCCCTTTTACGACTTGCAAGCGTGAAACGACGGCATGATTAGATCTGGGCGTGAAACGACCCAGTAAGTGCATCGCTACTAGTAACAAGTGCCACGCTACTAGTAACAGGTGCCTTACTAGTAGGAACAAGAAGCTACTAGT